CTGAGGTAGCGATATGCGTCTTCAGCATCTGCTGCGGTGGACTTGATTTTGTGCTGAAGGCGGATGACGTGGCAATTTAAGCTTTTGCTTGTTCCGGTCTTGCAGCATGTAGTGTGGGCAAGACACCTTAAGCATAAACAAACAACTTCTTGACATCGAGGCTTTTGCATTCCACCTGCTCGCATCTTTCATTTGCTACAAGTACCGGTGTAAAGCTTCTAACAAGCTTGTACAGCGACCTGATATTGCAAAGAAGGCTTGACGGCAAGCACTACTGCATTTGTAGCAGCGATGGCAGGATGCTCTTTGCATGCAGTAACACAGTCAATAAGCGCCATAACAAGAATCAAGAAGATTGCACGTGCGAAGCTTGCTCCGGCTTTCGTACGGTTTACTCCAGTCCTGTTGCTTCGCCCTTTGCATTATAGTACCCTAAAATTGTAGGATCCTTCTTATAAGGACCACCAAATAAGGCAGCCCAATTTTCGGAAACGCCCGTGTAATGGCACAAGTGCGAGCTCAACCAACTTCAGCCTATGGAGTCGCCCTTTCAAGGGATCCTTTAGGGATTACTTTTTAAATGGATCTATAACAAGGGTTCTATAAAGGGTTTAGAGTTTCCGAAAATTAGGGGTACTTTATTTGGGGTGCTGATAGTGAGGATCCTACTATTTAGGGAACCATCTTGGGGTCCCCTATTTTTGGAAACTCCCATATGGCAACTCCCGCCTAAAGGTTTTCCGAAGCTCTCTGAAGATTCGGGCTCTGTGGGTTTGATTGTCGTTCCCCCTTGCGTCCAAGCACCGCATAATATTGGGGATAGTAGACATGCATGTTGCGACTGTAATGGTGAAAAGCCAGTTAGCTAGTCAGACCCCCACATTACCCAGATGAGCTCGAGCCCGCAACTGTCTGGTTCTTAGTAGGGAATTTGGGGGGATGCTATGATAGTCCCTATAGTAGTCCCTATAACCCATTCCCCGATTCCCTACTAAGAACCAGACAGGTCAGGTTCAGCATGGAGTGTGAATGCTCGAAGCATTGGGCCATTGATCGCAAGTGCATGCTGCAGATGCCCTGCGACCATAGAACATTCCTTACCTTTTTAAAGGGTCCTAGATACTCTTGTGGGGGATTCTTGCCCACATATAGGGCCTGTCGGGTTTCATAGGGCTTGGGGGTTTGCGGTTTAGGGGTTTGAAAAGGGGCCTGCCTCGCAGAACCTTCTGCAACTAAACCCTCCCTTGACCGTTCCCCGACTGTCAGCAGGCGAAGCTGGGTAAAGGGCCGAAGTTGAATGCCACTTTGAGTGCACCAGTGACGGTTTGGCATTCGGTTTGGTGTTGTCATGCGTTTACCTGGGATTTCGGTTCGGCGTCTACGGGCGGTTGGCGTGCCTGGGATGTAGCATGTGGTCTTTAAGCATCCGCGATTCGGGAGGTTCGAGTTGCAACCTGCAGCGATAGAGCCGAATCGCCGCTATTCTCAGAATGGTAAACTGCTTGCCCGAATCAGGCATGCAAGTTCTGGAGCCCTGAGTCTTTAGCCTTAATCCCAGGCGCGTTACCCCAATGCGCAAGATCCCAAAACTGAATTCAACCCTGAACCCCCGAAACCCTTAAGCTAGCAGCTTGGAAGGTTCAGATGTAGACGTCCTGAAGCTGGGGGAGAGGCGAACTCAGGGATCAGGTTTGGGACTTTTTGTTTTAAGTATGATGGATCGGTGGGGGCGGAATAGGACCTAAACACCTCAACCCTAAACCAAGCATCGCTTGAAGATGAGGAATTGGTGTTTATTCGGGTAGCTGCAGTTTGTTTACACCCAAGACCCCAACACTAGCGCCATAAAGTCAACCAGCTGCATAAACCTTGAACTAAGCCCTCTCTAAGAGCCAAACCCTAAACCCATCCAAACTCTAAACCCGACGCCCCAAAACCCTCAGCTTTAAATCCTATCCACCATGAGTCCCTGAGCCCTAAGGTATACATGAACCATATAAGCCCTGAGCTCTAAGCCTCTACAAAGAGAGAAAGGGGCGCGTTTTAGGATGTTGGCTTTGAGTGTCCAACTCTGAACTCTCGGGCCTTTGGCGTTAGGCTCTTCGAGTTTAAGCTCCAAACAAAGGCCCTGGACTTGAACTTCTACAATGCTTTGCCTGTGGCCTGTTTGACGGGTCTCGCCGCGACAGCCATACCGAAGCCAGTGCTGCGGCCTCGAGGGAGCACTTGGAGTATCATGGGACTTAGTAAGTAAGGTTATAAGTACCTTAATCGGGGTTATAAGTAGTTGTAAGTATAGTTCCCCTAATTATGGCCCTAGTTACTAAGTCCCATGATCCTTTAAGTGATTTAGTGTGACGATCGGAGATTGAGAGGTTCAGCTTCTTCCCGTTTCGCTGCCGGCGAATTCAGAGCATGAGCACCGCTTGTTAGTTTTGTTTGCGACTAAGATGCCCAGTAGTACCCTTATTCCTTATTTGTAGTCCTAGGTTCCTTACAAAGGTACCCAATACCAAAACGGGAGCCCTTTTTTATTCCTAGGTTGCTGGGCATCCTAGGCGAGCGTTTCAGAATGGCCTTGGAGAATCGAGATCGTCGGCTTCGTCATTTCTTGGTTCTGTTGAGGATTGAGGTTAGCATGTCGACGGCATGGTTGAAGGTTTGGGGCTTCCGTTGAAATTCAGCCGAAGTTCAGCCGTCGTGGGCCGAGGAGCATGGGATTTGGGGCATTTAGGGCGGCGAGATGATTCGGGTTTGTGGTGACAGGGTCATAAAGCCCAGGATTCAAGAGCTGAGCATGACTTTGCGTCTGGAGTATGATGCAAGGTGTCCCCCCTCCCAACACCCATAAAGCCTAAGGCATAAACCCTAAACCCCAAACCTTCTTCAATCTGGTTGTTCTCGTCGCAAAACCCTTCCGAAGGGCGTTAAGAGGAAGTTTACCCCAAGGTCAGCCACATGGGCTGCCCGATATGTCCCGCAGATGACGGATCTGCAGGCGTCCGGTCCGTTCGCATGTATAGGATTTCTGAAGCCTGATGTGTTGCTGCCGGGCAAGCATAACTACCTCTCGAATAATGATGTTTTCTGGGTTGCCTAGCACGGTAAGGAGTTGGTTTCATCCGGAACAGGGTTTGATAAGTCAGGGCTTCGGTACCTTCTTCCTGGGAGGGATTGAACTCGGCATCGGGGTGTCCTCCTAAACCCGAAACCCTAACCCTAAACCCTAGTTTAGAGTTTTTGACTCCCAACTCGACACCATCAGAATCACCGAACCCCAAAACTGTCAACCACAACGTCCAACCCCTTCTTCTGAGCCCCGTGTGACAGAGCGGTTTAGAGTTTGGGGTTTAGGGTTTGTGGAACATTGTAGTTTCGGCAAGGTGTCGAAATTTTGTTGCGGATAAGCCCTTACCTTGAAGCCTCAAATCCAGTCATAGAAACCGCTTGTGGGTGTCCGGTAGTTCAATATCCGAAAAATCCTGCCCCATGCCACCAGGTCGTGACAAGGATATTCCAGGCCTGGGAAGTTCGTGGATCGTGGGGTTCGACAGACCTTCCGCATTTGATCCCGACTCCGTGTATAATATGTCTAGGTTAGCTTAGGAAAGTGTGAAGGCTTCAATCAAATCCGCTACCGCCCCTCTTCAAGCAACCATGATCCCCAAAGATACTTTTTGAGGCATCAGTGACATCTCATGACATCTCGAATTAATCTTTGGATGTGCTTCGCAGCATCGAAGTTGGTTTTCCAGGGCAGCCGGCATTTGGTCTGTGGTAGGGTTTGCGGCATGAGCCACTTAGGCACGAGAGGCACAACATCCTGCGGCTTCACGCACAACAACTCAGTCAGGATGTAAGCCTTTTTGGGATTTAGTGTTGAGGGTTTGGGACCCTAAAGAATCTACCTGCATCAGAAAGAAGCCACTGCACTTTCAACAAAAAGAACCTACCTGTTTCTGGCTCCTTAACGGGTTCAGGTACACAGCAAACAGGAGCACCGACTCCACGAAGCAACTCACTGCCCATCTGTCGAGCGCAGGTCAACCCGTCCATAGTCAAATGGGCTGCTGGCTTAGCGATGGGGTTTAAACTTTAAACCCTCAGCTCCAAATCCCAAAGCCTTTTTTGGTGTCCTTGTCGCACATAAGCCTAAACCTCTTTGCCCATGGCCTGGTGGTTGCAGATCCTTGCGAAACTTTGCTACAAACTTTGCACAGGACGTAGATAAGTTTGATGGCTGGTGGCTTGGGAAAAGGAGAAGCGCGTGTCTAGATTTAGATAGGTTCCATAGTTACGTTAGGGCTTATGTGGGCAAAGCAGGGTTGGGGCTTGTCTTGCTTAGCTGTGCATCCGGCAACGGGTCGTCCGGATTTGGAGCACTACACTCTCTAATGCATCGGGCCTTTATGTCCTTATCGTCTAACTATATGTATATATTTATACACATATTTTTTCGAACAGTTTTACCATGGTATTTCCCGGATCCCTGTAATTATTCAAGTTCCCATACTGCCCTTTGTCAAAAGAGTTCCACCGTGGCCGTACGCACCCTCGCGCCTTTGAGATTCACTTCCGCATCTGTCCAGCTCAAGAAAGTTGAGCTGAAATACACCAGCTTTAAGGTTTAGGGTGCCGCCAGGTTATTTGGAGAAGTTCCTCCTAAGTCCAAGCTCGTAGTTTTGCTACTGGACCCAAGACCTAAACATGAATCGTGAGCTTTCTCTCCCTTAGAGCGTACACATGTTCCCCCCTTCTGCTCTCACTTAGATACGGATGTGACAGACTATCTGATAAGCGTCCGACTTGGTTGACTGAGTGAGAACCGACAACACCCAAGCACAACTAGTCTCAACAGTAAGGCAGTCGAGTATTATTTACGTGCGCAAAGAAACGGACGAGGGAATCGCGAACGAGTTGAGCACTGATTGTACATGCAGACTACATGTACATCATTGTAGAAATAAGAATCCGCGCAGCATCATCCTCTTTTTCAAGCCATGGACGGGCTCCTGCCGCGTCTCTTCGAACTTTCTGAGGCCGGCATCAATCCTGAGGGCCTTGGTTCCGAGTTTTGGGCTTAGGGTTTGGGATTTAGAGTTACGACCACTTGACACCCACATCCTCCAAACCTCTGCGCCTGGAAGCCCAAATTCTGAACCCTTACCAGGGGCTTTTAAACCAGGGTCCTTGATTTAAGGGTCCTTGTAGTCCACCACCACAACTGCTGCCGTGCCCATACCAGCACTACTGCTATTACTGCTGATCCTGCTCGCTGTTGTTTTCGTGGCACCGACAACGATGAGAACGATGACGCCGAGGAAGGACGGAAAGGACGTGGAGTTCAGACCGACGGACGACGACGGCAGCGACGACGGCCAGTCCTACCACTCCTGTCGCTGCTGTTACAGCGGTTGCTGCTGCCCTGTGTCGCTGCTACTTCTGGTACGGGTATGTTTGGTGTTGAGTATAGCAATGTTTTGTGGTTCTTCTTGCTGGCTGTTGCTGTTGCTGTTAGAAATCGGAGTAGCATCCTTAAACCGCCAAAAGTCCTGGTCTGAGTTTTGGAGCACTTTGGGTTCACTTCCGTTCAGCAACGAACCATAAAACCTAACCGTAGGCCTGTATAAGGGGGTCCGTTCCGAAGCCTTTGAAGATTCCAGGTGACTGCAGGGGCACTTGCGGTCCAGAACGAGGCGTGGTGGGGCAGAGAAAGTGAAGCGGGCTAACGGCTAAAGGCTCGATCCTTCATTTCTATGACGCCCTAATCCTAAACCCCGCACTAAACCCCTAAATCCTAAACCCTAAACCCCAATCCCGGAAATCTGAGATGGAAGATGCTTAGAGTCAGCTTCGGTCCAGAAGTCAGGGCTGAAAAGTTTGAATTCTGTCGGAATCAGCATCTAGTTTGGCTAGGACCCAGAGTAGGCCCTTGTTCCCTTTTTTAGGGTTTAGGTTCCCTTATAAGCCCCCTTTAACCCAAAAAGGGCACCCTTTTTATTCCTAGGCTACTCTTAGGTCTAGTTGGGTTGGCAAGGGGGGGTCTGAGTGCCAAGACTCTGAGCCCCCAAAATAGACGGGCTGAATATGGGGCCTGTGGCGGCCTGAGGGATTTTGGGAGTTGCCGAAAACAAGGGGTATCTTATTTTGGGGTTCTTGTAATAAGGGTCCTACTATTTAGGGTTTTAGATTAGGATGCCCTATTTTCGGAAATCCCTATATAGGGTTCAGTTCAATAAGACTGGCATGCGGATTAATCGGGTTTTGACCAGGGTTTCAGGGGCAGTTAATAACACCATCACCTTTAAGTCCCGAATTGTGTCTTAATTGCCTCCAATCACGGCGGCCTCTTAAATGAACTACGAGTTTCCTAGTTGTGCAGAGTTCCCATAAATTAGGAAAGGGGTTCTTGATTAGTTATGGGAGAAGTGGGGGATGGGGCGTACATATTCATGTGATGAAAACTTTGATCGAGGCCGTGGGGTCTATATGATGCAAGCCTGAGGCTCCGGGGTGTACTGTTTGTGAGCAGCCTCAAGTCCAAGCTTGGCCGCAGGTCTTCATACTCGCGAGCTGCGCCCCTGCTGGCGTTGAGAGGGTGTAAGATTTGAATCGTTGTGTTTCGTGAGCGGGCAAGAATGCCAAGCGCCTGGGAGAACGGATGTAATACATGGGTCGGCGCAATGAGTAGTACTATTGCTTGGGGTTATTCGGGGCTCCTGATAGTACAGTACAGAAGGAGGTCTGAGCTTGCGCTCTTCGTGTGGCTTGCGGTATTTGCCACAAACTATTCCAACTTCTCCAAGCTCGGCCTTCAAAGGGTGGTCCCGCTTCACAGCGTTTCTAGGATCTGCAGGCTCTAACTCTCAGTTTACGTTGGTCGCGATGAAGTGCTCAAGTGAAGCTTGTCCACTGAACACCCCATGCCTTCGGATCCCGTTTTCAGCTCCTAACACCGAAGCCACACTCCAAGCCTGTGCTCTGCGGCTTGTGGCGCTGGTGAGATTGCCCCATGTTCAAGTTGGAAGAAGCTGACAGCCGTCAAGACCAAACCCACTCAGGTGTCGTCCTGGTAGCGCTTGCTGGTTCCTGGTTCCTTTCTTCGTCCGGCACCTTTCTCAGAACTAGTTTGTGACTTGTACCTTGTGGGCCAGATACGACAGTTCACGCTCGTTAACCGTGGTCGCAGTAAACTCGGAAACGCCTGCTTCTGCGAAGGCTTCGTTCCCACGCACTGTGCAAGACATATCTCTTTACTCGGAACTCTAGACCTTGAATCCTAAACACTGACATTTTCACATAGTATGGAAGCCTGAACTACTAGTACTACTGCCCCTCAGGGTTCCTGATGTCATCCTGTTTCTATAGCAGAGTAAAAACCCCTCGGCCCAAACCCTAGTCTACTTATTCAGGCCCTTACTTTTGAGGTTCATGGGTAGTTATAAGTATGGAGTTATAAGTATAGTTACCCTACTTATAACCCCCACTTACACCTACCCTCAACCTATAAAACCCTACAGAATACTCAGATACTATAGAACCCTTAAAGGAACCCCTATAACACCAGTTACAGCTACCCATGAACCTCCAAGTACACTCTAACCCAACGCTTGGGAACTCGAAGTCCTCGATGCTTTGCCATCTTCTTGATTGAGCTCTCGTCTGCCCTGCTGAAGACGTCTTCCAGTGAACGGCACATGAAGAGACGGACACGCCTGAAGCCCGTGAACTTCAACCCTTAAAACAGCTAAGACTATAATTCTTGTGAGCGTCTGAGTTCAGTATAGTATAGGGCTCCCCACTGCCACTGTGCTGAGGCCTTCGGATGTGGTTCTTTTGATATTCAGAGGAACCCTACCTGAGCTCTAAGCAACAGACCATTCTTAAAAGCTTCTTCATTATTATTGTGATTTCCTGATATCAGTCCTCAAACTGGTGAGTCCCTAAGCGCTATTGACGCTAAACCCGAGAGACTCGAACCAGGCACTGGTAAGGCCGCCTCCTTCGCTGGAGCTTTCGTCGATGCTGCGGAGCACTCTGTCGACGAGTTCATTGAGGAGGACCTTGTACTATGCTAGTATATATCACTATATATGTACACACATAAACATAGACACACTTAGTTTCTATATATATATATATATATGCATCTAGATAGACAGACAGATCGATGGACATGCAATACACCGGGAGATGATGCTGAATTATGTTGCCTAGACTGTGTTATAGTCCAGTCTAGCAGTCCGGTCCAGCCCAGACTCAATAGCTACGTAACGAGTAGCATAGCTTAAGAAGGAGCTCGTGCCCCTTCTGCTCATCGTGAGTGTGTTATCGAGCCTCTTACAGAACATGTCAGATGAAGGACATTGGTTCTTTTCTTCAGATTTAGGTGGTGAACGCAGCTTCAAAGAACAGAAAGGCCGTCATGTTCGTGAAGCTTGGTATGAAGCTCAAGCCTTCAAGTATGAGTTGTGCAGTCGAAGACCCATGTATATACTGGATTTCTACCGGACGGTTTTCGTGTCAATTGGCAGGACTGAACTCTAAGCCCTGTGCCCTAAGCCTAAACCGACATTCAGAGAACTTGCAACCCTCTTGACAGGATTGCAGGGTTGTAGTGAGTAAAGTAAGTTAAGGCAGAGAGATCTGTTTCGAAATTTGGGTGCACGCATCGGGCCTGAGGCTTTGGATTTCTGGGTTTTAGATTAGAGCGAAGCACGTGATTGAGAAATGTAGGGCTTGAAGAACTATCAACAGCATTTTCCTTGGGCTTTCCGAGGCTACAGTCTACAAGTAGCTGGTGCATTTCAGAGGGCTCCACGTATCTATAGTTTCCTTAGGATTTTTATTTGTGTTCATATAAAACCAAAGAGAATATTAAACTGCTATTTTTATTATGGTTCTAAGGGGGCATAAGTATACTACCGTTCGGGAATTAGATCCCGAACGACTCACGACCATCCTTTTCTGGTTTGGTGGACCTGATTCATACTTGGAGGTTCATGGGTAGTTATAAGTGGAGTTATAAGTAGGGTAGCCATCCTTATGACGCATATTAGGGGACTTGTACCCCCACTTATAACTACCCATGAACCTCCAAGTAGTCGTATTATTCATGGACCTTCTTGCTTTAGCATCCATGATGACAGCAGTTTGGACCTTGGAGTTCAAGGGAGTGTTTGCGATTCTGGGCTTAGGGTTTCGAGATCAGGGTTTAGGGTTGAAAGAGGCGGTTCTCGAGCATCAAAATCAACAGACACAGGTGGCTACTATAGGGGCCTAAATAATTACCAAAACTATTTTGGGGATTCCTTATTATGGTTATAGTACAACAGACCCCAGAACCCTATTCTAATTACTTAGTAGCCTTATGGATCCCTTATAGTAACCCTTATAGTCACCTGTAAAGGAACCCCCGCTCTAGTTATTAAGGCCCCTATATTAGCCTTTTGGGGATGCTCTCCCGTCATCGTGCAATTCCATTGAGGAATTGTTGGAGCAGGCCTTTGGGCAATAAGGAACACTGAGGAATAGTGGGGCTTTAGGGTATACTCTACTACAGTTATCAAGGGGGAACTGCGAGGAAGAATATTAGTGGATAACTGCGAGGCTTAAGCCCTAAACCCTAAACCCTTAATCCCCGAAACCAAAAAGAGCCTAAACCCTCACGCAGGGCCTGAGAAACGAAGCCCGATCTTCCCCAGTTTCCCCCAGGATTTTCTAACCATGGGCATGCCAAAAGAGCCCCACCTGGAGGGAGGCTTCCAGCCTCCCACGGTGCTGCTCCTCGCCAGATCTGGGTCTTTCTTTCTTATGATTATTCTTATTCATAACATCATTATTACCATTGCTACTGCTCTTCCGTATTAAGCTTATGACTGTTATCACCACTATCAACTATTGGCATTCTCTTTTAGTACTTGTCTTACGATTACCATCACAGAATCCTGAATAATGGCCGAATACTACTTTCGTAGAGCAATTATCATTATTGCAGAATCCTGAATAGTGACCGAATACTACTTTCTTAGGGTCTCTCTGATTTTGTTTAAGCCATGTATAGTATGCCGCAAACCGCATGGTTCTTGGGATAAAGGGACCCCTAGAGCTGCGGACATTCGATGTCTACACCCAGAGAAGAAGAGTCTTCAGAAGAGAGGCCCCTCCTTCACCCAGAGCTTGCGCTTCAGGCGCTCAGCTTCGGACATTTCTGCTAGGCCTCATGTGTTTGCTGCAGTGTGTCAAGTGCCAGGTTGCAAAGCAACAGCACGGAACCCTATGACTTCGACAACGACAACTGCCGCGGGCAGTTCTTGCCTCTCGACTCCATGAGGGGCAAGGGCGGAGGAGACGGGGGGGGGGGGGGGCGTGTGGACTGGACATGACTGGCCTGAAACCATGAACCCACAAACCTATTGTATGTTGAACTATGAATACTCAGAGCATTTTTTGCAATATTTTGGCCAGAAATCACAGTCTTGTGTTGCTTATGTTTTGCATTCCAGAGTTGGTGTTTGGCCAGTGAACCTAGAACCCTTGTTCAGTGATAGAATATGAAAGCTCCTCGATAGTGAAGATACATACGCATGTGTATGTATATATGTAATTGTTTTCGGTTTGTTCCTGCATGCATCCATACATACACTTACTTAGCCTATTGGAGAACTGTAAACGTTTTGGCTTTATATATTAGGTCTATCTTAGAAAGTTTAAACTTTTTTGGGCCCGGTTATTGAAGGAGAGAGCACATAGATCTTAGATATGGTCAAGCACAATGCAGGTGTCTTTTCTCCAGATTTCTGGTTCGCGTGGTTGAAAACAGGGTCCTGAACGTTGAATTTCAGGTCCCTGGACGGCGCCTGTCTGCTACGCAAGACCCAAACACGACATGTTAAGCCTTCATCCTAAAGCCGTTTGGAACTACAGCTCTGTAAAGAAGCCTTACAGCCTTTGAGTTCTAAACACCACCTCAACCCTAAGCCCTACACCCTAAGCCCTAAACCCTAAGCCCTATACCCGCATCCCTAAAACCACTAAGCCAAGCCCAATGCTCTGATGGGAAGCTTTACCGCCGAGGGCTTTGCACCGCCCTACCCACGACAGCAAGCTGAGTGAGTCGGGGCGATACCGTGCCTCGTCTGGGTCCGATGGCTTTCGCGGAGTTTGCGATTTGGGGGGGGGGGGTTGTGATTTGTGTGTGTTTCGGTGTTTGAAGTGTTCAAAAAAGGTTTGGGGGCTCAGGGTTATTGTGGCTTTGGGGAATGAATCTGGAGCTGTTGATATCTGCTGTGTTTACACACCTTCAATGCAAGCTTCGGGTGCTACAGCGTCTACGGCTTCCGGATGTAGCTTGTTTTACGCTTCATCCACAGAATCCCAGATTACCGAACCTAGGGTAGTCCATTCATGTGAATTTAAGGAAGTTTCAACTTTCTGGCGTGTCTTGCAGACTACATGTTGCATTTGAGGTGCCCTGGAGCTCAACCCCGAACTGACACACCAGAAGCACGAATGTACTAATTTACTAGCTTCCCTGCACCCTGCGGTTTCGAGCTCAAGCTCGAGGATGAATCTTCAGCTGTGCATACAAACTCATGAGAGCCGCGACCGTTTCACTGAGAGATGAAGGGTGGTGGTTGGGGATTAAGCGCATTGGGGGTGTTGCATTTTACGTTGCCTGTTTGATCCTTGCGATCTTGGAGGTTGAGCATGTAAGCCTGTGGTAGAGCCATTCTAAACCCTAAACCCCTAAACCCCTAAACCCTAAACCCTGATTGATGAAGGTTTGGAGGGTTGAGGTGCAAGCCCCGTGCTGTCAGCACTAAGCCCGTTACAATGCCTTCGGCCCGACAGCCGACTCTTCAATCAGAAACCGCTTAGCCTCAAACCCTAAACTGCCTAAACTCGAAAAACAGAACATCTAAACTAAACACTGAGTCCCAGTTAAACCAAAGATCTCTCTAAAGCCCGAAAAAGCTTATTGCCAAACTTTTCAGCAGGTTATGGAGAGCACTTCAAGGGCAAGAAGCGACTGTGGGAGCTTCGCTTCCGGTTTCAGCACCCGAGCTTCCCATGAGCACAACCTTTCGGTGTTTTATTTTCTGTTCACGCTGTTCTTTAGGGTTTAGGGTGTAGGGTCAGGGATTAGTTGTTGTGTTCAGTTGCGTTGGTGTGGTTTGTGTGGCCTTACCTCCTCACAGAAGGCATTAACGTTTCTAGGTTTCGTCGCGACCTCAAGCCTAAACCTAAACTCTATATTACCATATACTCAACTTAAAAATCCCATACTTAAGTTTTGATTTGGTTGGAAATAAGCCGCGGTTTGCTTTATCGTGAAATCCTGAGCATACTAGAGAATAGAAGTCTGGGGCTAGGGCTTCCAATTTAGGGATCTGAAGAGGCCTAGAGCCCTAGATGGGCATTTCGGTGCAGCTGAGGCTCAAACGGCCACTGAGCCAGGCCGGGTGCACCCCGGGGTTCGGGAAAAGGGGTTGCAATCTAGGGTTGGCTTTCCGGCTCAAGGCTGAAAGATGTCTGTGGGTTCGAAATTCGAAGGACTTCGAGCCTCGTCTTGTCCCACTGATTCCCACTTTGCAGAATGCCGATCTCGCCATCCCATGTCCTGAAGTCCCGAAACCCCAGGCAGGCTTGAGTTCCTCATCCACGCGCACCCAAGAAACCAGAAGCATTGATATCCCCACGGCTGGAGACCGTGCACTTATCAGAAACCGCGGTGGCCCAAGCCCCACCCCCTGTAAAGCACTAAACCCTGAACCAGGTGCTTTGAACAGGAGGCCTTATCGAAATTTTGTAGGATCCCTACAGCAACGGTTTACGCCCCATACAGGAAACCTAATAGGAACCATGGTAGGAACCCTCTGCTGAACCATGACAAGCACTCTTGTCTTACAGAGACCCTTACAGGGACACTTATTGTAGGAACCCAGGGTCAAAGAGGAACCCTAAACGGAACACGTCATAGGGTTCTATAATAGGGTCTCCTGTCACGGCACTATACATAGGGCTCTGTGATGGGGTCCCCGTAAAGAGCACTACAGTGGGTTTCTGTACAAAGGGTCCTCTTTAAAGGAACCTTTATTATAGGAACCCTGTCTAGATCCTTTTACAGGGGCCCTAAGCCCCTAAAGCCCTAAACCCTTAAAGCATCCCCTTAAAAGGATCCCTTATAGCAACCCCAGAGATCCCTTTGAATGTTAAATGGACCCTAAACTCCTAGAGCCCTAAACCCTTAAAGCAACCCCTTTAAAGGAACCCTTTTAGGAACCCTAGAGATCCCTTTAAAGGGACCCCAAAACCCTTAAAGGAGCCCTCAAAGGATCCCTAGAGATCCCTTGAAAGGGACCCTAAACCTTTTTAGGAACCCTAGAGATCCCTTTAAAGGGACCCCAAAACCCTTAAAGGAATCCCTTTAAAGGATCCCTAAGCTTCATTTTGCATCCCTCGGCATCGCTCAGTCCGACCTCTTCTTCGGCGCCGAGCTCGAGGTGCCTCTGGGTTCGTCTTAAGGGACTTAGGGTTTAGGGTTTAGGGTTTAGGGACTTAGGGTTTAGGGTTTAGGGTTTAGGGACTTAGGGTTTAGGGTTTAGGGTTTAGGGACTTAGGGGTTTAGGGGTTTAGGGTTTAGGGGTTTAGGGTTTAGGGTTTAGGGTTTAGGGGTTTAGGGTTTAGGGTTTAGGGGTTTAGGGACTTAGCTTCAGATAGCATTGAGGGGATCTATAGTTGCTAATTATTAGCTACTATGGATCCCCATTATGCTATCTGAAACCGTATTAGATATGGGGATATAGAGTAGCTAATATGGTTTCTTCATCATGGTACTTTCAACTAGATTCCTTAGCAAGAACCGTGTTTCGTCAGCTTTCCGTTGGCGTGGCGGGTCGGATGATGGGCTTAAGAGGGTGGCTTCGGGGTGTATGCGGCTTGAGGGGATTGGGGCTTATAGGGTTTAGGCAAGAGGATGCTACGCTTGGTGTAGATGGCTGTGGATTTCGGGTGGCTTGTGTCTTGTGGGTTATTCCTGCTGACGGGTTGACTTGGAAAGTATTGCTCATGACATGAACACGGCGTCTTCGTATTTGTGCATTTATCTTCCGGTCTGACAGCGGACCAGCTTGTTTGTGAATACTCAATGGGGCACAGACCAAAAACGGCCCGGAAGCCCGCAGACCCTCAGGCCATAAATCCAAAGTCCTCAGAACCAAGAACATGAGGACTAGGGGTACCTTTTTTTGGGGGGTCCTTAAACCGATTTAGGATGCGATATTGATGCGCCCCATTTTCGGAAACTCCCATATACCAACCGCAACGTCCCCAGCTAAACGATAGATGCTGAGCCGGAATCCCCACGAGGAGTACGTGCCTCTGAGTGCCGCCACGAAGCGTGCCATGGACCTCTCCGTGTCCGGCATGCGACTGGTGGTGGGTGACTGGGAGCCGAGCTGGGTTGAGGGTTTAGGGTTTAGGGTTTAGGGTTGAGGGTTTAGGGTTTAGGGTTTAGGGTTTGGTAAGCCTTCGGGAGCCCGAAAAAGAGAAAGTAATATGTTCTGTTCTTTTTCTTGCCTTATCTTGGCTTACTTGCCCGCGCAGGGGGGGACCAAGCCTCGTATCGACAGGACTTTCAATGTCGCCGCAAGAAGCCACATGCATTCTTGTGTAGTGCATGCCTCTGATGGATATGCCGATGATCAAGCCTCTTTCCTCAGAGAAAGTCTGTCTTGCCGCAACTGAAGTCTGCTTTTTCTCCTCCAGCAGAGTGTGGTAGGTCAACATTGTAGGTTCAGTTCTGGATAAAGAGGTCTGAAGTATCGATACTGCCGGTGTTTCAGGGCGCGGCTTTGTGCTTGCTGGTGTTTGGTGATGCTTATAGTTATAGTTATTTGTATATGTATATATGTGCTAAATTTCCCATAAGTCAAAAGTCGAGAGATCGATATGTAGAGAGAGAGGGGTGTGAAATATCAAGAAGGTCCCCACCGTCCGGCTGCGTTTTTGAGTTGAACACTTCAGTGAGGAATGGCTCTGCGCCCAGGTGACCGGCTCTACCACAGCCCTGGCGACCCAGAGAATGTGTCTAGGATGTGTCATATCCCGCCTCAACCTGTAGTTTTTTTTTTGGTTGTCGCTTCAATGTGTTTGAACCTCGCTTTGTCGTTTCGTTGATCACTACAAATAACTACAGTACCATCATAGTATCCTTGTTGGAACCCTCATAGGAACTCTTGGCAGTAATCCTTGTACTCCAAAGCCACGTTGAGCGCATTTTGTAGCCCAGACAGGCGAGGCCGCATGCTCTGCTTTGGGGCGTATTTAGATGTCCTTACATGGGTTCAGGGCTTTAGGGTTTAGGGTTTTAGGGTTTAGGGTTTAGGGGTTTAGGGTTTAGTTTAGGGTTTAGGGCCCTGCTACCTGAGGTGGAGGGAGAGCGCGAGCGACCAGCGATCACCCTGCCCCTCTGGGCTTTCGACCAGTACATCGTCACGCCGGAAGGTGAGTGGGAGAAAGCGGCGTAGGACAGGAGTCCGTGCTCGTAGCAACCATCACCGGATTTCGTCTCCTTCCTAGAGTCTCCACACAAGAACCCTAAACCCGAAACACCCCTAAGCCCTAAACTAACAGCGCCGTAGATGCCCGGTTTCCATGTCGCCGCGCCTCCCTGAATGAATCGATTTGGGAATCTTCTGCCTCAGTCCCTTGCCTTGGAAGCCTTGAGCCCTAAACCTTCGACTTTTACTACGCTCAACCGTGAGCTCCATACCTCCAACCCTAAACCTTTCAACTTGGTTCTTACCACCGACATCTTGAACCCTGCCTTAGGAACCCTCAGCCAGGTGAGGCCCCGCCGGAACTCACAGATCCGGATCTACCCAACATGGGCCACAAGCGCCACTCGGCTGAGGGTTCTGGATTTAGGGTTTCGAGCTACTCCTTGCCAATGAACTTGTACCAGTACTCATGTCTTCTTTTCGTCACTACATACACTGTTTGTCATGGCTCATTTGATCTCGAAGCCGCATTCAGGGTATAGAATTGTTGGTGCTGGGGATGTGTAGTGCGATTTCGGTAGGGTGCAGATGCCAAACTGCTCTGTTGTTTGTCGGCAGTCTTGCTTCAAGCAGTCGCTGCTCTCAGTTGATCTCGTGTTCTGATGCTTGCAGGCACGTCCAGAAACCTGCCCCCAAACCGCAGGCCTTGTTAGACAACCAACTTCGGATGTTCCGCAACCAGGGGCATCCAAGCACCCTTGATGCCTTAGACCTTTGGGCTGCGTGCTTGACACACTTACATTGAATTCCTAGCTCCCTACTCAAAGGATCATGGGACTTAGTAGCTTAGTAACTAGGGTTATAACTAGGGTAACTATACTTGTAACTACTTATAACCCCAATTAAGGTACTCATAACCTTAGTCCCATGACCCTCCGAGTAGATCCCAAGACCTTGAGGCTTTGGTCAGCTGCGCGAGTATCGGCGATCGCTCGATGCCTTGGAACTGGTTCCAGGCCCCACTTTCACGCCACTTGCAGCTTTTCAGTATTTGTATATACACATATCAACACGTGAGGAATTATACCCTCTCTCTCTATATATATACACACACACATGTAAATGTATGTCTACCGTGCGTATGTGTTTACATGTCTGTCTGTCTGTCTGTATGTGTGTATTTATGTATGTATGTATATTAGTAAGCATGAATATATGTACAAATGTATATATGTATGTCTTTATGTTCATGTAGACATACATATGTCTGTCTGTGTCGGCAGGTGCATCATACATATCTTCATGTGTATATATAATATAATATAATATATATATATATATATATATATGTATATGTATATATATATATATACATATGTACTTATTTATTATATACATATGTATGCGGGTATGTATATGAATACTTCCATGCATGCACCCATTTGTTGTTTGTTTTGTTCTATATATGCATATATACAAACCCATATTTACGCATGGGATTCCATGAATTTTGGCTTCCGGGCGTGGAGGTGTAGGATCCATGGATTCTTGTTTGAGTTCTTTAAACCCTAAACCCACAACCCACAACCCTAAATCCTAAACCCCAACTAGGACAAGGGGTCAAGGCTTCAGCGCGCGGAGATTCGGGGTCTCAGGCTGCTCAGTGGACCCCCCCAAAAGTTTGCAACATGGATTTTTGGGTTTAGGGCTTAGGGTTTAGGGTTTAGGATGATTGGTGCTGGGACTCCCCTGTCACGTCAATTAAGGGCCATGAGGATAATGATGTTCCAACTTTCCGAGGTCTACTGTGGTGTTTCAGGGATTGAGGGCCCTTTGGTGATGCCGGCTTCGATCTTCCTCAGCAACAAATGGGTAGTTCTTAGAAGCTGCCCAACCCTGTAATAGTGACTATAAGGGCCCTATTATATTCCTATTATACCACTATTACAGGGTGGAGGCCCCTTCTAAGGTAGTTCTCCAAATTATGGGTCCCTTTCACAGGTTCCTTTTTATAAGGGTGCTGTACTATCTTCGGGACCTAAAACGGGACCCTGGGCCCTAATTTAGAGAACTATGCACATCCCGGAGCCTCGGGCTGGAAGTGAAAGAATGTGCAGATCGGAAACAAACGACAAACGAGCTGGATCATAGTAAACTTCATAAGCATTACTCTTAAGGATTGAGGCTATGGGGTTTCCAACTTTTGGGCTTCTACTGTATAGCACCTCCGTAGCTTCATGCAAGGGCCTCTAGAAGTTGGTACAGCTTGGAGCTAAGATCTGATAGGGCTTCGGGACGGGGGGGGGGTTACGGCTTTGCTCTGGGGTCTGGGGGCTTGTGCTATTTTCTCTGACTTTCTTAGTGTAGTGTCTGCATTTCGGGTGTTAGGAGTGTGTGAGTGCATGTGAGATTCGAGCATTGTCGCTGGATTTTGTATTTTGGGTTTCTGGACTGTCTAGTTAGCTTACGCCATTACAAGAGACACGAAACCCTAAACCCTGTGAACCTATTACCGTAAACTCTCAACTTTTACTCCCTATAGGATTCTGCAGAGTTCGATGAATCGCTGAGCACTTTTTGCGATTCCAGGGTGTCAGCATCTGCAATGGTAGTCCAGCAGTTTGATGGGAAGAAGGCGGATATACCCTTTGATTACGGGCCGTACTATGATAGACCCATGTGCTTAAACCCTAAACCCTAAAACCCGAAGCCCTTAAACCCTAAAGCCTAAACCTCAAAAACCCTAAATCTTAACCCGTAAATTACCTAAACCCCTGAACCCAAACCCCTAAACCCCTCAACCCTTAAAGCCTAAACCCTAGACCCCTCAACCCCTGAACCCTGGACCTGGAACTCTCAACCGACATTCTTGTGGTTTGGAAGTTTGGATGAGACCCGGGGGAGGTTTGATGTGCAAATGCCTTTGCTAGTCCTGCACATGGGGTTAGGGCTTAGGGCTTGGGGGTTTAGGGTTTAGGGTGTTAGGGGTTTATGGTTTGATGGGTTTAGGGTTTAGGGTTTAGGTGTTCAAGAAGCCCTTCCACATCGTTCTGTGACCGTAAGCCCAGAAACTCCCCGCAATATCCTAGCCTAGACTTCAACTCCCGTACACAACGCTCAAAACAGGGGACCGTAATATAGCACCCTAAATAGTAGGATCCCTACTATAAAGAGACCAAACAAGGTACCCCTAATTTTTGGAAACTCCCAAGTCCCGCACACAAAGCTGAGAGCGGAAGCCTGAACCCCAGTCCCCAATCCCTCGAAGATCACAGACCTTGAGGTTTTGCTTCTGGGGTGTGAGCCGCTTCTGCGACGTCCTCCAGTGGCTTCTGCACAGTTGAGACATTATTATTGTTTTATTATTTATCATTTATTATCTATTATTATAATAATAATAATAATAATTATTATTATTATTATTATTTATTATTATTATTATCATTATTATTTTTCTTATTATTATTTTTCTTATTATTATTTTTCTTATTATTATTTTTCTTCTTATTATTTTTCTTATTATTATTTTTCTTATTATTATTTTCTTATTATTATTTTTCTTATTATTCTTCTTATTCTTATTCTTATTATTATTATTATTATATATATATATATATATACACACATACGCGTATGGATATGTTCCCAAAGACCCTAAGGGTCTGCATATGGGACCCGGGACCCTTTGTTTCTACAAACCCTATAAGGCTCCATATTAGGGGCCCTTACTTGCTTGAAAATCCAAAACAAGGGACCCCTTAGTCTCTAATCTCCACAACTGTCTGTTTTGGGGATCCTCACTTTCTCAGACAGCAGCCAAGGTGGCAGGCCACAGGCATCCCCATGTTCACCCCTCTGGACCTGCCACTTGGCAGCCTTTGCAGGAGGATGGAGGTTTTAATATGAAGATTTAAGTAGTAGCTGTGCGCCCTTATTCTGCCCAATTACCTAGGCAAGATTATCCACCCCCCAAACTTAGTAGTAGAGTAGGTAACCTTTACCCATTTTGAGGTAGGGTAATCCCGAAGTCAGCCCAAAGGTCAACCTTACGCCGAACAATTAAGCAAACCCTATTCATAAGTATTCAGGCCCCTGCACCAGCTTTCCTGGGAGCCTGAAGGAGTAGGCAACTTTTAGCTTTTTGAGGTGCTGTAATTCCCTTTGTCATGTCAAAGACTTATCTTCACTTCCCATACTAAAGCCCCTACACCAGGTTTCCTGGGAGGGAGTAGCACAGATGAGCTCTGGAATGATTTGTTGCGGCATAGGTTCGTTACCTTTAGTATCCATTGCAGTGCCTTCTCGGGATACCCCTTAGAGGATACAGATGCTAAACCCAAAATGGAACTACAATGGAGACAAACTATAAGTAGGGTCCTGAATGATGAATCCTATTCTTTAGGCTTTCCCCAACACCCTATTTTCTCAGAGCCCCGTTCGAATTGTAACGGACACACGAGTAGGGTGTCAGAGGCAAGATTCAGCATCTAGGATTCAAGAGTTTAACTTCTTGATGGGTTTAGGAGTTTCGGGTGTAGGGGTTTAGGGGCTTAAGGTTTAGGGTTTCGAGGGCTTAGGGGTGAGGTTGAGTACCAAGATAGCAACAGTACCATATAAGGTCACTACTGCAAACACTTCCCAGACCACCCTGCTCCCAACATCCATCACCAGTATCAAGATCGCGTCGTGAGCCTAACGAATACGCCTTAAAACTTATAGACTTCCCAAGGAACTAAAACTTAAACTTCCTAAGGAACCAGTACTGTGGCAGACCTCCGCTCCACTTTGTCCTCTACACCCTCACGGACAAGGGAGAAACTCGGGCCGAGAATTTGAAAGTTGTCGAGGTTTCGCCACCGTGTCGAGTTCTGGGGTAAGCTCGAGGGATTCGGGGTTTAGGAGTTTTGGGTTTAGGGGTTTAGGGGTTTAGGGAAATCCTCAAGGGTTTAGGGGTTCAGGGTTTAGGGGTTTGTGATTTAGGGCTCTTCAGGCTTTGAGGTGATGGTGTTAGGGCCTCTGGCTCTGCATTCGGGTCCCCGCAGGGGCGCATGATGTCTTGGCCGCAGCCGGCGCAGACAACCGAAAGAAGCCCGCATCCCAAACTTAATAGCTGCGTAAGTACACTCCACTATACACTTTTAAGGGATAGATTATAATCCCCTATAGAACTGAAAGTTTATCCCTTTTCGGGGCTTATGCACTCAGCACCTAAGTAAAGCCCCAAACAGGGGATCCCCCAGCTCCCGAAGTCCCCAAATGACATCCTAAAGCCAATTTTAAAGGTCCCTTAAGGAACGGGTCCCTTAAGGAGCGGGTCCCTTGTAGGAGGACTAAGGCTCTCATGCATCGGCCTAGCTGAACCCTACTTGTAGCCAGAAAAACCTGCCTGTTTTGAGGATTCCTTGTTAAGGTTTCTATGTTTAGTTCCTTGATTAGACAGGTCGGGTTTTGGGCCACCGGTACCCTAAACCCTAAACCGGCGCTAAACCGCCCAAGGAGGAGACCAGACATCTACAGAGCCGCAAGACCTACTTCTTCCGCTGCGGATTCTGGAGCTCGCCACACGGCTCTTCCTTGGCCCCCCAAGTTTGGAGTCTTCCTAGGAGCTATATAGGGTTGTATAGGGGCTATATCGTCATGGGATCATCAGTAAGGTTTTAGGGTTTGGAGCCGCAAATCTCGAAATTCTTGTGCTTACAAGACCCTGCAGCCGTGCACTCGAACTGACGCAGAGAACTGCAGCGATACCCATACTCAGCAGACACTATAGAATCCATATTTAGACCACTTTAAATCATATGGAGCCCTATACCCAAACAGCCTGAACCTAAGGTATCCCACGCCCGAAGCCCCAAATCCCACGTCCGAACGCGAGGCTCCGGCGCCCAGGGAGTGACGTCGTGCGACACTTCGCCGGAAAGTCGCTGGACGTGCTGCGAGGCATTGGGTTCAGGGTTTAGGGCGTTTATAGGGTCTGTAGGGTCTTGGGATTTTGGGTTCAAGGTTTAGGGTTTCTAGGGCTTATGGAATCATACAATTATATAGGGTTCAAGGTTTAGGGTGCTTGCAGGGTTTGGGTTGGATTTAGGGTTCAGGGTTTAGGGCTTCTGGGGCGTATAGGGTCATACAAGTACATATCGGGTTTAGGGTGCAGGGTTTCTTTTAGGTTTGAGGTTTAGGGTCCAGGATTTGGGGCTTTGGGGGTTGAGTGTTGCCTTGAAGAGTTTAAGCGCATTGTTCCGGATACATTCTTTGGATGAGAAACAGTGGATGGAACAATTCTGGGGTCTTGGATGCGACAACGTCTTTTTCGGCCTTGGGATGTAAAGGTTCTGCTTGTTGCGCTGCTTGCATGTGTAGTATATATACCCCAAAACCCTGTTTCCGTTTTCAGAACTGTTGGTAAGTTTCCGGTTTGAGAGTTCCCTTCAAACTTATTGCCCGGAGGCACGACCAAGGCGCGAAAGAGCCAACAGAGCAACGCCGCCTGGCTCAATTCGGGTTACTTTGGAAGCTGGAAAAAAGGCCCGGACTAGTCCTTAGCCGTATGGGTTTCTGGCCATACTTGTACCATACTGATTGCTAAGGCCCCTGTCGTATCGAGCGTGTTTCCTGTAAGACCAGACCGATCCTAGAGTAAGTTTGGGCCCCCCACAGCCAGTCGAATTTAGGGTGTAGGCGTTAGGGTTTACGGACTATAGGGTTTAATTAGGGTTCAGGGTATATAGATTTAGGGCTTATAGGGTTTTGTGGGTCAAGCCGTAGGTGATGGGAGCCAGATCTCTACTCCTTAGGTTGAAAGAGCTAGACGAGACACGCAGCTTTTTCCGATCTTGAAGCGATTAGGAGGGCCAGGCGGTGATTTGTTCGAGCTTCGTGGCAGGGCCTTCTTGAAGCAGCACTCATGATGTAAACAAGAACCCTGCGCATCCCAAAGCTTGTTCCTAGACCCTACCCTATCCGGATGCCGTTCTTAGTAGCTGAGTCGGTAATCTTTAACTTTTTGCGGTTTATATAACCTGACCACAACCGCAAAGGTTAGGCTTGTTTTGGGCTAGGGTACGCAATCCCTATAAACAGTATACATCTTACTCCCGCCCCAGCGAGAAGAGCCTCTCTCAGGCAGGGACATCTGCAGGAGTGACCCTCTTTGGCATCAATTTGTTTCAATGCTGCAGCGACCGTCCAGGATCCTAGGCCATACGGAATGCGGGGGCAAGTAAGGGTTTGGGCTGTTATCGAAAATCGTCTGAATTCTGTTTATTACTATGGTATATGCAATTTCATGTAGGATTTGTCCCCAAGCCCGCGACCCATTTGGCTTCGGAGCCTGCCGTGCTTCACAGAAAGCAAAATACTGGCGGGTTTAGGACGCAGCGCCTGGCTGTCAGCAAACAGCTGTCTGGCCTCTACTTCGAATTTGCTTCGGAAACTGCCGCCCAAGCTTCAATGCCTTGAAATTAAAGTAACTACTACTAAACTCTAAATTCTAAGCTGAGCCCAGAATCCCTTAAAAGTACCTGTAGCCGAAAAACCCGAATTGTTTGGGGCTCCTTATTATGGCTTCTACATCTATTTCCTTAAACGGCCGCTTTTCTGAGCCACAGGGTACTGTAGACTCCTCTAAACCTCTAAACCCTATAAGCCCTAAACCCCGAAACCCTAAACCCCTAAACCCACCCATGAGTCTGAACCCCGAAATTTGTCAGTACGTCGAAGTCCTGCAGGCATCGCAAACTTCGTAAACAAGACTCACCGTAATTATGATAGTCGCGATAGCTAGCAATGACAAATAGTATTAATGTGTCTATTACTCCACCTTACATATATATGTTAAGACACCTCAAGGCTTTGAGTCGTGAGTCGTTTGGACGCCGGCCGGCTGGAATTGACAGGAGACCCAGACTGCGTGAGCAGTTTAGCGCAAGACCTAGCCCGATCTCTTTAAATTTGAGTGAGTTCAGAGGTTTCGAAATAATGGTACTACTAGGTAGAAATTCCGGCTGTTGGGCTTAGACCCCATACGTCTTTACAGTCTTCTTATGGGTGGAGTGGGGGGACACCTCCAGACTTTGGGCCCCTATACCAAAGCATGCTTTTGTTTGCAGAAGTATATGGGAGTTGCCGAAAATTAGGGGTACCTTATTTTGGGGTCCTTATAGTAAGGATCCTACTATTTTAGGGTACTATATTAGGGTCCCCTATTTTCGGAAACCCCCATATACAGGAGTGCCATGTTGTATCAAGTGCCTTGGGTGCTTGTTTTTTATAGGTAGCGCTCGTTGTCGTCTTTATTTAGCCAGTCTGCCTATTCTGGCGATGCTCCGTGCGGTATGTACTATCTGAAAGCCTCAAGCGCACCACGTAGTCTGGGACTCAACCAGCAGTCATAAGAACCAAGCGGTTCTAGGAGCCTTTGTCCACTCCTGAGGAACACCGCCAAAATGAAATGCCGCCCATTGCATGATGCCCATTGAACGACTTGGTTGCCATAAGGGTATGGCTAACGGCCGAAGGTCACCGAACCTATGTTCCAAGTGATTGGGATTCTACGAGGGTTTTGGTCCTGAGAGGGTTCTAGCGGCTCGTGCTTATTGTCCTTGTCATCTCTAGTGTTGCTGCTGCTACTATTTCTGACAGTAACTCATCTGTTCATCTGCTGCTTCATAGCATTGCTATGATTGCTACAGTTCGTACTGTCGTCATTGTCCTTGGTCTCACAGTTCATGAGCTTACCGATATTGAGCATTTGTACGATTATATGTACTATCGCGGCTCCTAGTGGTACTGGTAGTAGTAGTAGTAGTCGTCCTCGTGATCGTCATCGTAGTCGCAGTCGTCGTGCCAGTAGTTGTAGTAGTAGAAGAAGAAGCCTGTATGTCCCGGTCTCCCCGCAGCTTCTAACCGGGCACTGGCCTTTCACAGGCTTCGTGCCTGCAGACTGAAGCATCTGATCCATCATCAAATGACCCAAGGGATCAGTCAGATCTCCCCCAATTAACACTTAGTCAGAAAGCCTTTGGGCTCTAAACCCGACCTTGCCGGCAGCACCCGTTTGAACTCCTTAGACCGAAGACCAAGACCCCAACCCCCTTCTTAACCCTCAAAGCCCTACACCCTAATGAACCCCTAACCTACCTGAAACCCTGAAAAGCCCTCTGCGCACGAGGTCCTGTTTTCTGGCCTTGGCGCCTTCGTGCGGACCCTGGCTTTTCAAGGGGCTCTGATTGGGGTTTTGGGTTTCAAGATGTAGGGTTATGAAGGTGTTGGGATTTCTTCGGGGTTCGAGGTTCCACAGGATGTGAAGATGTTCGGAGATTGCGAGATTTGTGCGACGGGTAGGCTTTACAATGTTACAACTGGCGAGCTTTAGGGAATTTACAGTTTCGGATCCAGGTTGCCGTCTGGACCACCGACTTCCTTGTATTTCTGATGCAGGACACCAATCTTGGCCTACCAGTTTAGTTACCCTAAACCCTAAACTGGGTTCTTGTTAAGGAAGTTAATTTAAGTTACCATAATAGGGATCTATCGTAAATAACAGGGTTTCCTTATTATGGTAACTTAAATTAAGTTCCTTAACAAGAACCCAGTAAAGCAGAGGGGGTGCCAAAAGAGCCTAGGTTCAGGCTCTGGGCCCTGGGGGCCTGTATATGGCCTCCTAAATCCTCAACGGGCCGACGACCCTGCATGTACTATAGCGGCCTTTGTAATTGCCTATACTATTATGGGGTTCCTTGTTGTAGTTATAGAATAAAATGCCCCAACACGCTATTCCAATTGTTCAGGCCCTTGTATGGTAAGTCCTTAGCCCCTATAGACCTATAAGCCAGCTCAATATGCTCCCTCAGACGTTGCTTCCTACTTCGCACGCTTTCTCTGGCTCATCCGCAAATTTCTGGCGAAGTTTGGAAACCTACGCCCAACAAACCGAGATCTTAAACCCACAACCCTAAACCCTAAATGCGACATTCCTGGGTGAGTGCATTCCTCATCTGAGGCGGGCATTGGAGAAAGGCCACTGCACTTAAAAAGAAAACCCTAAATGCAGCCACTTCAAGACTGGAGCACTAAACTAAGGCCCTAAACCCCACAACTACTCTAGCCCTAAATCCTAAGCCCTCGAGGTCTATACCCTTTCGTAAGCCCTCGAGGTCTATTACCTTTCCTAAGCCCTCGAGGTCTATAACCTTTACGTGACCTTCATGGTCGTGAAGCTGAGTCCGGCGACTTCTGCCTTCGCTGAAGCCTCGGTGACGGAGAGGTGGAGATACAAACGTGGACGATTTCGTTACTTCACCACCAATAAGAACGGTGTTTCGAATTATGTACTATGTTAAAAGTATGTAAACACCTGTATATATATATATATGTATATGTATATATTCTTTTGTTTTGGCGGAAGCTTTTGCAGGTTCGTTTATTTCTCTTCGTGAACCAGACTCTACGCCCTAAACCTTGCAGTTGATGTGATTCAGGAGCGGGCGTTCGGTACTCCCACGGGGGCCAAAAGTTAACGGAGGAAATGATCCTTGAAAGTATGCTGCACACCCCTTCGGGTCTCAGCCATAAACTCCTTTTCGGGGTTGATTCGGCCCATGCGGCACTGCGGCGCCGTTCCATCCTTCCTTCCTTCCTCCCTGCAACACGACCCGGATCCAGTTGAAACACAGCGGCATGAACTGGTCGTCAACTTCAGGAATTTGGGTCGGAATAAGCAACAGTAGTAATTACTCCCTTGTATTCCTTATGACAATATGACATACTTCAAAACCTGAGGCTGTCATCTAGACAAGGTCTGCAAGTGCACAATGACTGTTGCGGCGATGGGCATTTGCTAGCCCTTCATCGGATGTCCATCATCAGGCACAAGGTTGCAGTTGTTGGTGTTAGGCTTGAAGTTCGAGGTCCCGGGACTAGGAGCTTCGCGGTTGTGGTTTAAGGCCACGCTCCCTGGCCCAAAGCCCGAGACCCTCCCAGATCTCGGGTTGAAGCAAAAGAAGCGCTCTTCAAGGCAGGCAACTTCAACAAGAGTGCCGCCATACTGCTATCTCTGGTATTCCTGGAGGCGGTCGGGATTTATTTGTCATCATAGGGCCTGATTCGACTGCCTCGTGGTTCCGCTTCGTTAATGAACAGGCATACTGCGCACAAAGCTTTTGCATTTGCAAGTGAGGTATGGAATGTCCACTGCTCCCAGTCCTTAGGGGTACTTAGAATTATTTTGTAATTTTTGGTTATTAAAATCCCTAACTAAGAAACAGCTCAAATTTTAATTTTTGCTAGGGTTCTAAGTTCAGTATAGAGTCGTCGGCTTGAGGCTACCTAACATGACCTGCAGGAAGAGTCAACCTGGCGTCGCAGCCTGGACCCAGAACTAAGCCCCAAAGTGCTATTGCATACTATAGAAGCCTCAATAATTGCATATACTATTCTTAGAAGCTCCTTATTATAGTAACTTATACCATGAAAGGAGCCCGGAAGTCCATTCTAAACTCCACCCCGAACCCCAAAGGCCCTCCTAAATCTTCAACAGGGGGCCGCACCCTGGAAAACGGGAAGCCTCCGGGACTTCGCGAAGATAGGCCGACGTGAAGAGTTGACACGAAGTTAGGGGCCGAAACGGTTGATGATATAAATCCTGCATTACCTTAAGGACCCTAAACTATGGGAATTATGATATATTCCTTATTAAGAGTTTGGGAGTTAGGATTAGGGGGATTTTCGGGGATATAGACCCGCTCAATAAGGTCCCGGTGAAGAGAGCCAGAAGTAGGGTTCGGAAGGGGTACCCTTTAAGGGGTCTCCCTCATCATGCTACCCAGAGTTTACATGAAGTAACATAGGGGCCGAAATCATTGCCCATATTATTTTTTTGGGGGGTTCCTTATTACAATCGTAGTATAATGGGCCCCGAAACCCTATGCTAGTTATTAGGATCCCTATACACACATAGTAGGTTTCAGTTCCGGTTTTGGAGCTCTGGGTTCAAATTATGCTTCAATTTAGCATCTGGGTGTTCCCTTTTTGTTATGGTTTAGGGTTAGGGTTCATAGGGTGTTGGTCCGATTAAGGTTTTTGGGCTTGGGGTTTAGGGTTGAGGGTTAACTTAACTTTTAGTTTAGGGGTTAGGCTCAGGTTTAAGGTTTAGGCCAGGATTTCAGTTCCGGGTTATGGGATTTAGGGCGTAGGTTCAA